TGCCCTTACAGGTCCTTTGTATAGTTTTTTAACGCGTTTTTAAATTCTGATCTTTGACCTCCATTGTACGTATTTTTCGTCTCCCCATTTCTTTTGTATTTTTATTTCAGTTCTATACCCGTTTCATTCCTACGATCCACTTTTGCATTTAACTTAAAATTCTTCTATTCTTCTATTATTTTTTATATAGTAACTTATATTATGAGAAAAATAACTTATGTTAATCCTAATTTACTTATAGCATTTAGTTATTTTGCTTATCAATAACTATTTTCACTTTCTTAATTGACCAGTTGTCTCAACTTGGTCATTTGCCTCTTCTTTTAGACACTAGTCTCGAGGGTCTTTATGGATCAACTCCTTTTCTCTCTTTCCCTGGAACCAACAAAAGTAGTATACCTTGGACTCATTATACCTCTATGCCACTTTTACTTCCTCCTGGGTTAGTGGTAAGTTCACTAGCCTACTTGGCTAGTCGATTGGTAGTCTGCGAGTCAACTCATCGAACCTCAGGATTTGGCCTATGTCTTGCCTTGCCTATCCCGTCAGCTAATTATGATAATGGCACAAATTCACAACTATATGATAGCCTTGAGCAGGGTCTACATCAGTTATACAATATTGTATGTGACCATGCAGCCCGTGTGCTCCAACTAGCCTGGCGACTTCGTATTTCACTCCGCATTGCTTCACGTTCAGCCAACAGATGCCAGCCTCCACTTTTTGATCAGGATTCTACTTTTGATGGACAGGCCAGGCTGCAGCTCACTCCTTGCACGCAATCCTCAGTTAAGGAACAGTCGTGCACACCTAGGTAAGTCATTTTGTTCCTTCGTTTATTTGACTTGCTTAATTATGCATTAAGTAAAAAACACTGACAAATTTTTCCTTTTAGGTATCAAAGTCAACTCATTTATTCATTCCAATAAGAAGAAACTATATTTACTGACACAAATGTCACTAATATCCTAAATGGTTTTGACATAAGGCAGTCTTATCCCTTTTTATCAATAGTCTCAAATATTAAAACCTTAAATAGTCTATTCTAACCTTTACTTAGTTTTCGAAACTTTCAAAAGGCATAGTTAATCATGTATGTAAGATATGTTCACTCTATTTCGTTTAAGGTGATGAAGAATTGGTAATTGAATTTTCCTACAATTATATTAGTAGGCTTTATGTTTCCATTAAATTTCTCAATAGGTGTTCTCATTCAAAGATCGATTGTAGTTTCGAA